GCCTCGCCAGAGAAGAGCGCAATGATGGTGCCAACTTGGGCCAGTGAAGCAACATCCTCCACAACTAGACTGAAGAACAAAACGACAGCAACTTGTCTGTTCCCCTTTCCCCAATTCCCCAGCACTGTTCCCATCCCCCCAATTCCCCAATAAAAATCTTAAAAAAAAAAAAAGAATATCCTGTTCTTTTTACATGGATGCAGTATCTTCGGAGAAAATAAATGATTTTTAAAAAATTCTTCTTCTCCCCAGATTGTCTGGTTCCTCTTAGTTGCCCTTTTTCTGGCGCCTCTTAGAGCTTTCCTCAAATGTCTGGTAATATTTGACTCTCTACTCAGACTTTAAGACTGGAGAACTTAAAAAGCTGACAGGAAGCTCTGACTGGCTGGGTAGGGTTTGTTGACTGTGACCACCATTGTAGGGCGATCTAGCTGAGGCGGTTCTTGAGGGCATCCCAAGATTCACCAAAGAATCCCTTTCCTTAAAATCCCAGAGAGTCCTGGTGCCGCTTATTTCCTTGGTGAATCTCAAAAGTACTCCCAGGCACATTCGGTGACTTGAAAACCTATGTCTAATTTCACCTGGGAAAACAATGCTGTTTTGTTTTTTTTCCATGATCTGCATGTATTACTGTCATTTCACCAAGTATTATAGTTGTTGTTGTTAGTGTCATGACACTATTCCTATAGTCTTTAGCCAAAAATTAGAAAAGACAGTGGGCCTCAAAAGGGTATGCTAAAGGATGTGTGTATACTTTCAAGACAGAGAGTTAGTAGCTTTTGTCAGATTCCTGATCCTGTGTTTGACCCAAAAGAGATGTCAAAAGCAAACAAAACATTTCCTAGAGCAGTGGATCATACCCTGGGGTGTGTATTAAAAACTATTCAGCTTTGTTAAATATAGACATTCCTAGACCCTACTGGAGAACATTTCAGGAAAAGACATTTAAACTGACTGCTCCTTACGGGATGGTGGAGTTGGCCCAGAACAGCTTGGTTGTACTGCTGAAAGATGGTATCCATTTGTATGTACCAGACACACACAGGCAGATGTTCGTAGTTGAGAAGAACTTTTGTCCTGAGTAATTAAAGAGTTCCATTTCGAGCAAATCAACTCCTTTCTGACTCAGCCCCATTTAGTTGGAACAGAGGATATACCACAGTGATTATCAAACTGGGTCTAAATTTCCTGGAGATCCTTGTAAAAAATGTAGATTCTGGGGTTTCACTCTTGCTATTTTGACTCCTTTGGTCTGGGGAGCAAGTCTACATTTTTAATAGGCATCCTCTGTTATCCTGATGCAGGTGATCAGTGGACCATATTTTGAGATATGCTAATCTAAGTTTGCTACTCATAATATCCTTGAGAGCTTTAGTGAGGGAGTTGGGTTGAGAAGGTTGATTTTCTCCTTTTTGTTATTGTTTATTGCTATTGTTTGTTATTAGCTCCTAAAAGTCTAGTCATAGGGATAAACAGTATAGCGCTTAGATCCAGGCAACCAAGACTTTGCACTTTACAGAGCCCAGCTCTGGGCTTCTTCCAGCCAAACCCCTCTTCTCAGGACGCTGAGTCCCAGAGGATATCCCCACCTGAAAAGTCCAGCCCCTTTTGGACTACACTCTGGATACTCAGTACCTGGAATTCCTTGCCCAGTGTCCTCTTTCAGGGCCTGGACAGGCCTTCCCACTCTCAGAACCAATGTGCACACCCCTAGGTCCTGGGCAGAACTAAGGGATAGCTTCAGGTTTACCAAATAGTCCCTTACCTTCACTGTTTCTTCTGTCCACCAGAAAATTCCTCTGTGCCTTTGCTATTCTATATTAGCAGTTCTCAAATAAAGACGCGTTAAGTGTTTCTCCTTTGACATTGAGGAAATGACTCCTCAACTTATATAGCTAGTTGTATATAAACTTGAGGCCACTTATTAACATCTGATATAAGGCTACAGTGTTTTAATTGCAATGAGTGTTGTTAGAGCAGAGGAAAGCTACAGCTTTCCAAACAACTGGGAAGTTGTGGTTCCTCTGCCATACTCCTCCTTTATAACAGCCAGGAAGAAGGAAGGCACGTGCTCCATGTTATTGCTTCAAAAGGGTCTGGGGAAAAGAGAGAAAGGAAGAGATTAACTGACATAATTTAACACTCGGAGCTGTAAATCATGTGTTGCAATGCGCTGATAGGATGTTGCATCAGAAGGCGGCAGTTGTAATGCAGAGGGTATCACAACCACGGGGAGGTCTGCGTGCTGCTTGTGCCCTTTCCATAAAGGTTCAACTCCAAGTTTATATCCCTTCTGCTCTGCCGAGGAGAAAGGTGTTATTTCAGTCACACTGTATCTCCCTATAATTTGGTTCTCTTGGCCTAGGGCACAGGAGTTTCTTTATGGTTGAAAGTTTGCCCGAGGCAGACACCACTGTACTGGGTCCCAGCATCCCTCTTATTTCCTGTTGTCACATACCAGCAGGGAAGTGCTAAGGTTTCTTCACATCTTCCTGGAAGTCTGTAGGGAAAGCTGGGAGGTGTATGGCAAAGCTGTAATGTCTTTACTCTCAGAACCGTTAGTTTTGAAAGTGTATGTAATATTTCCTGAACATTTCACATTGCCTTTATCAAGATTTGAAAAATAGTAAGTGACTAGGAATTGGTCCCTTAGAAACAACATTGAAGGTTGATAGTAATGGTAAGAGTAGGAGATATGGAGTATATTTCAGCAAAATTCTTGATAGTCAAGGTAGATTTTGGTAGTTCATTGTTTTTTATTGTGGTTTTGGATTTTTTTTAACTCTTCTTTATTCTAAGATAAAATTCATTGTGTATTAGAGAAATTAAACAAGTGACAATATCAAAATTACTGTTTATATCTAGAAAATAAATTCTTGAGGATAGGGCTGGTATCTTAATTACATGGTAGTGGGAGTAGTTGCCTGCATGCGAGTGGATTCTGAAGGAACTTAGGCGAAGAAGTGACTGATAATAAAATAATCACCTTAACTTCTGATCAAAATAGTTTCGGAGAATGTGGTTTGGATATGTGACAACACTGGGTTTCTCAGTACTGAACTCTAGAGTTCATCAGACTTACCTACCTAGTAATAGGAGCATTTGATCTCCACAGCCCTTCCCACATGAGGGACTGGCCTTGTAAAACTCCAGGGATACAGGAACAGAGCCTGGTTCCCAAAGATGGAAAGGGAAAAGAGTTGAGCAAGTACATGCCATTCCTGTCCCCTACTCCATCGCGAGAGAAGTCGCTCCTTCTCCCTGGGGAGCAGTAGGAGAAAGAAGGCAAAAGTGTTACATGATACTGGCATTCCCCCCACGCAGAAGGAAATGTTATCAGTGGAAAGCATTCCTGCCCTGAGTGATAGTGGTGTAGCGGTTTTTAGGATATAGAAGAATGGAGACTCAGCAAATTTTAATGATTTGTAAATCATTTTCATCACTCACTGAATTATGGAGACATGCTCTCAAGACAGTGTGTGTAATAGTTCAGAGTGTGATCTTTAAGTCCATTCTTCTAGAGATGCACACTGAAATACGAGGCGTGATCACAAAATATGGTGAATGTTTAAATAAAAAAATATTTATTATATTTAGTAAAAGACACATTACCATTAATCCCTCTCAAAATATTCCCTCTCACTTCAAACACCATTATCTCATCGTTCTTGCCACTTTCTGAGCAGTTCTGGAAGTCCTCTTTTGTGAGTGTCTTTAGTTGTGCTGTCCTGGCTGCCTCGATGTCCTGAATCGATTCAAACCATTTACTTTTCATGGTCATTTTGACTTTGGGGAAGAGCCCGAAGTTGCACAGTGCCAGATCTGGTGAATAAGGTGGATGAGGACACACCATAATGTTTTTATTTGACAGAAATTGCTGTACCAGAAGTGATGTGTGTCATGGATCCTTTCTGTTAAGATCAACAAATACGGTGAATACTGCTGCTGAGTGCCATCCAATGGAAAGGCAGGGATCTTCAAGATGGGAAGCGGCACATCATACCTTAGTAATAGTGTGTGACCAGTTTCTACTTGTTCGGTGCAATCAGTTGGATGTGAGCTACAATTGAGAGAAGGTGTATTTTAAAGTGTGCCATAAATCATGGGTCACAAACAATGCATTAACATGAAATGGGCAAACAGCTTCATCCTCCATCATAACAACGTTTCGTGTCACATATTGCTTCGGGTATACGGCAATAAAAACATTACGGTGTGTCCTCACCTATACCTTATTCACCAGATCTGGCACCGTAAGACTTCTGGCTCTTCCCCAAAGTCAAAATGACCATGAAAGGTAAATGTTTTGAATCGATTCAGGACATCAAGGCAGCCATGTCAGTGCAACTAAAGACACTCACAAAAGAGGACTTCCAGAACTACTTCAGAAAGTGGCAAGAACGATGACATAAGTGTGTTCAAAGCAAGGGGGAGTATTTTGAGGGGGATTAATAGCAATGTGTCTTTTACTGTAATAATTTTTTTTTAATTTAAACATTCACTGTATTGTTTGATCACACATCGTATTTATACTTGAAGTGACAGGATGTCTGAGATTTACCTGAAAATAATCCAGGGGCTGGAGAGGTGTAATGTAACACTATTATCCCTGCTGTGTTAGTTGTTGAAATTAGGTGATGGGTGTACATTGGGTTCATTATATTATCTCTAGTAAAATGAAGGTTCAGTTTGAATCTAAACTTTACTATTAGTCATGTGTCCTCAGCAATGTTGCTCTGCCTGCGTCTCTATTTCCTAATCTTTGAAATGAAGATAAGAAAATCTACCATATAGGACTGCTGTGATGATTCAATTAAAATAACAAGTTATGTGCCCATAACACACAGGAGTCACTCAAAAACTGATAGTCACTATTGTATCTATAAATGGATAAAGATTAGGGTGTTGTCTTCATGAAATGTTTGCTTTCTTGGGGGCAGGGATGGGGAATGTATTGTTTCCCCCAGTTGAGTATATTAACTTTGATTTTGTTTTGACAGCTCAGGTGCCTAAAAGGCCAGAGGGGCTTCTCAGGCCAACCCCCTTTTGATGGGATCCACATTGTCAACCATTTAATAGGAGATGACGAATCATTCCATTCCTCTGATGAAGATTTTCTAGATAATTCCTTACGGGAGAGTGGCGTTGGTTTTCCTTTGCACAGAAAATCTGGCCCCATGTCTTTGGACCCCGCTGTGGCAGATGGTAGTGAAAGCGAAACAGAAGACAGTGTGCTGGAGCCCAGAGACAGCGATCGAGTGGCTCAAAAGGAGCGACCCCCAAGAAGAAAAGAGTCATACTCAACCACTGTCTGACCATCACTGTGAACTAGACTGTGGATTTTTTTAAGGGATCAGTTATCATATGATTATTAAGGGTTTTTGGAACATATCTGTTTCATATGTACATATATATATTTTTTTCAATCTTATCTGCCTTTTTATCTTTGCCAAATCTTCACCACTGACTTACCATTGCCATAAAGTAGACTGGAATATGGTTAATGGGAAAAATAAGGTTCTAACAGTATTACTGAATGTTAGTGTTTCTTGTTTAGAAAATGCAATTATATCTATATATTGGAACCATTTGAAGTTCAAAACTATGGAAAATTGAATTGTCTTCAGACAAAACTGCTCTTGTGCAATATTTTATGCTCAGTAAACAAATTGTATATTTATGTTTATCAGTTTGTTTTCAGGGCAGCTGTCTACAGACATTTGACCAAGACTTACATTTGATTTATCTTGTGTTTTTGAGCTAGGGGTATTTTTGTTTTCAATTAAAATAACTGCTTTATTAGTGGGCCACTGAAAGTTCCCAAACACAGTGTTTTTTTCCATTTAACTTTATAAATACAAATTAATGGTTATCTAGCTTGAGAGTTTTAAGTTTTGTTTGAATTTCTAATTTTTATGTGCATATGATACTTCCAATATATTGCTTACCAGTCAGAGCAGTAGGTTAACTACAAATATATTGTCTTTTTGTACATAATTTATAAATCTCCATCACCTGACATTGAACATCATTTTATATGGAGACTGTACATGTTGCAAAATGACTGCCTTTGGCAGTTCTAACAGGACTTCTGTAAATATAGATTCAAATTGAAAATAAAACCAAACACTAATATTTTAATAGCTTTAGTATTTTGCTTAGCATTCAACACTAGCAAATTCATAACTTAACTGATAACTTGTTCAGAAACACTATTGGTGAAATATTTTACTTCGTGTGTATGTAACTAATAAATTTTCCATAAAGAGGTTATGGCACACATTACTTAGTGCTAATATTCTACTTAGTATAATTGAAGCAGTGGACTGAAGTCCAAGATATACAACAGTTACATCTGCAAATAATCTATGAACATTATCTTCAGATTCTCTAGTTACTAATCTGTAGATAAAGCCATAAGAATTCTTTCCTACCAGTTCTTCCTTTTTTATCATCTAGACTATTTTTCCTAGAAAACTGAATGCCTATCACTGATAAGTTGGAGGAAACATCGAAATTATACTTGCGCTATGGGAAGATAACAAGAATGTGTTGACAGGATGCTTCCCACTCTCGTTTTCATCAGCAGCCTATGGAAAAAAATAGCCTTCGAGGATAAGAGGGGAAAGTAGAATTCAGTATATACAGAGGTACAGTTTTGCACAATGTACTGCATGCAGAAAAAAAAATGTTGTGAATGAATGGTGTAAGAGATAAATACAGTTTACTGTCTAAAACCAGGAGTTAAACCTTATGGTGTCTCCATGGACTAGGCTTTTCCAGAAAGCCCTTTGTAGCTCTTTGCTTGAGAAACAAAATTGAAAACATGCCTGCTGTGTCCATAACACCAGGCTAAATTCTACTGGTTAAGTAATTTACCTGTGGTCACAAGTTAGTAAGTAATAGCCAAGATTTTCATTCAGATCTCTCTGACACCAAAGCATTTGAAAAGGTTCAGCTAATGAATTTCTCAATTCCCTGCCTTGCTAACAATTAATGTGATTTCATAGATTTGATTTAAATGTGTTTCCTGAATATATATATATAGATATAGATAGATATATATAGATATCTATATCTATGTATAGATATATAACTATCAACACTCATAAGCTCTACACAGCTTATGAATTAGATACTCCTAGAATTCTCTGACTGGTGCTTTTGGGATACTTTTTTTCTCGGGGTTCATTACTATCAGCCTAGAGGCTGTTGATGCCCAAGTGAAATGAGATGATTCACACATGGCCACATGATTGCTGTGACCCCCCGCATCAAGAAATCTGAATGATCTAGACCATGGGGTCAGCAACTACCATGAGCCAATTCCAGCCAGCTGCCCATATTTACATGACCCACAAGATAAGAGTGGTTTTTACGTTTTTAGGTAATTGAGGGAAAAAAATCAAAAGAATAATATTTGGTGTCACATGAAAATCATATAAAATTCAAATTTCAGCTTTGATAAATAAAATTTTATTGGATACCCATGTTTATCCATTTACTTAGTGTCTGTGGCTGTTTTTGTGCTACAGTGGCAGAGTTGAGTAGCCTGAAATATCTACTGTCTGGCTCTTTAAGGAAAAAGTTTGCTGACCCTTGATTTAGATACTTTAAAATGTAGTTTTACTTCAATTTGCCTCAATAGAAGATCGAACCATTTGCCTTTGCTGTTGAGCTAATGGTTTGGAAACCTAAAATTTCCTAATGGATCTTAGAACTATTCAAAATGGGAAGTGTGTCAGCTACTTGATATCATGAATTCTTTGACACCATAGACAAATTTGGAAGGATAGCTGTATCTTTGGAAATGGAGAAAGACAGAATTCCAGAATCCCAGCACTGTTCTTTGTGTATCATTGAGTGTTAGGGTATGCTTCATTGAGTCATTGTTACAATTTGATTTCACAAGTAAGAACATCTTTCTATATCATGTTGGAATTCTAAACTTTGAAAGATATTGTTAGAGAATTTCCTAAGTGCTATTTCTGGTTAGAACTTAGGTGTTAGAAGAATCATCCTAAGTAAAAAATCCACTGATAGTCTTGTAATTTGGACAATGAAAAACAAGAAACAATCTTCTCATTCAAGATCTTTGATTCAAATACTCCTTAGAAGGGCTTAAAACCTTCCTGGCTTTTAGGATGCAATAGGATACTATGCTCTGATTTGACTCCATTTCCTTCAAATTAAGACTTCGAGGCATTGGACAATGTTTTCTTGATACCTTTTTATTATTCTCTGGTATTTTGTGTCATTTAAATGTTATTCAGTTAAACAGAGTTGAGGAATATTGAGGGGCGGGGCAGAAGTGAATGAGATAATTTTTTTAAACTCACAATAAAAAAAAAAAGAACTTACTCCCTTGGGATAGTTACCTTCCTGGCATCATTGTCATCATGGGTTGAAATGCTGAGAGTTGAGCCTTACAAGTGACCTGAATAAAATAGAAATTGCATTATGGTGATGAAACAGAGACCTTTAAATCAAGAAAATATTTCAACAGCCTTTTAGAAAGTTTGTGGTGATTTTTTTCTGCCTGGAAAAAGAAGTCAAATATGTAACTTATATAATTTCTACCCTTTTTATTGATAAATATTAGGTACTCAATGTTTGATGACTAATTGAGACATCAAGTCCCAACTAACTGGCTATTTTGGAAGAAAACAACCCAACTCTTTCTTGGCTGTGAACATACTCTCCAGATAGTGCCTTTGATTGAAAACAAAGTCTACATCCTTTTAAGTATTTCATTTCTGATATCATAAGAAATTATTTGGCTCTTCATTCTCTTTTATCTTTTACATAATTTTCAGATTCAAAATAAAATAAGTATATGAGTTGTGCTTTGGTAGAGCCCTTCATGGCCAGCTTAATTGTAGTACCACATGTCGACAGCTAACATTTCAGGAATCAGTGGTTTACTGTTAAAATAATGAGCTTTAGCAAAAAAAGTTACTGCTGCTGTATCATTAACAAAACAGTAATTTTTTTAGTTGATTTTAATTTAATTTACTGAAATTAAAATTTCTGATTAAAAGTGGAGTGGATGCTATTTATAATCCAAGTTTTTACATCACATCCATTGAGTTACCTATCCCTTCCTTTCACTCCAAAGAAGAGATGATAGAATAATACATTTAGACGTGCTATAGAGATGCAAAATTATAATGTATTTCACTTTACTGTTGGAACTTCTTATTGTAACATTGTATGATAATCTGAAATGTTTACTTGTGCCTTTGCTTTCAACAATTAAAATTTCCCATTTTATAAGAATTTTTGTTTGCTTAAAATATTCAACTTCAAAGGGGAGATGCATCAAAACACTAAAAAATGCTTGGCCTGACATCAGATATTCATTAGTGAGGTTTGTGCTGCATGACTACAGAGACCATATCCACCTGGTCCACCCCAGACAGAGGGCCTGGTATGTGATCTTTTTCAACTTAATGAAAAGCCACACATCTAGATTTGTTATTCCCTTCAGGAATATGCTATTTTTTAAAAAATACTAATGACAGTGTTTCCATCCTACATTGTATTTTAGGTTATTAAATTAACTAACAACTAATTCAATAAATATATTTGAATATATATAATCTGGATATACATATAGAGGCTATTATAAAAAGAAAGTTATGCCTTCTGCATCTTTATCACAATGTTAATAACATTTATAGTTCAGAGCAATTCACTATATGTTCTGCTTTATTCCCAAAAGGACATAAGGCACTTTATAAAGATACATGAAATATGACATGACAGTTATAATCAATGGTTTCTCTACCTTGGCACTATTGACATTTGGGGCCAAATTATTTCAGGTTGCTGTCCTGTACATTGTAGGATGTTTAGCAGCATCCTTGGCCTCTACCCACTAGATGACACTAGCACAACCCAAAACATCTCCCTCCAGTTGTTGCCAAATGTCCTTGGTAGGGAGGGACTGAGAATGAAAATCACCCCTGGTTGAGAATCGCTCGTATAAATTTAGAAGTGGGTCAAAAAATGGAGTCACTAGGACCAAAACTAAAAATATATACCTACTGAAAATGAATCACAAATTTGTAGTCAAAAGTAAAATCTGAACCACCATGACGTGCTACTTCATACTTATTAGGATGGCTATTCAAAACAAAACCAAACAACCCAGAAAATAGCAAGTGTTAGTAAGGATATAGAAAAACTGGAAACTTGTGCTGGGAATGTAAAATGGTGCAGCGATGAAGGAAAAGTTTTGGCAGTTCCTAAAAAAACCTAAACCCTAAACAGAATTACCATGTGATCCAGCAATTCCACTTCTAGACATATGTCCAAGAGAAAGCAGGCACTCAAACCGGTATTTGTACACCAATATTCACAACAATTACCATAGCGAAAAGCTGGAAACAACACATGATCATCAACAGATGAATGATCTATGTTGATGAGATCTGGACAAATCACAGAACCTAATGGCGAGCTTGCTGCTCCTTTTCACCAGACTCCCACCCAGGACCTTGCCCTTCCTGGAACTGCCTTCCGCCACGTTCCCACAAGATTAGCTCCCCACGCCCTCCTGGTCTCTGCTCAAGTATCTCCTGCACAGGAGGCCTTTTCTGACCCTTCCATTTAAAAATGGCTGCAGCCACTATTGAAAACAGTATGGAAATTCCTCAAAAAATCAAAAATAGAACTACCTTATGATCCAGCAATTCTATTTGTGGGTATTTATCTGAAGAAACCCAAAACACTTAATTCGAAAAGATATATGTACATCTATACTCATTCAAACTATCAATTAAGTGTGAGGCTGAAATATGAGTTAGAAGCTGCAAGGACTTAAAAAAGCCCTCTTTTGGGTCAGTCACAAGAACTGAAATCAGATAAAACCTTTTCACAGTTTATCTCCCATGAATGTTTTTTGTTTTTGTTTTTTTCAGAAAGGTAGGTAATATGTTCCACCAAACTGAAGTACAGCATTATTTACAACGGTCAAGATATGGAAGCAACCTAAGTGCCTACCAATAGATGACTGGATAACAAAGATGTGGTACATTTATACAATGGAGTATTACTTGGGCATAAAAAAGAATGAAATCGTACTATTTGGGACAACATGGATGGACAGAGAGAGTATTATGCTAAGTGAAATAAGTCAGAAAGACAAATACCATATGATTTCACTTATGTGTGGAATCAAACGAACAAATAGAATAGAAACAGACTCATAGATACAGAGGACAGGCTGATGGTTCCCAGATGGGAGAGGGGTTAGGGGGCTGAG